CAAAGAATGTCTACATCACCCCACTGTGGCTTTTGTGCAAGAGAAGGGACCAGCTTGAAAGAAGCATTGAGTGTTGGGCATTTCCTACAACATGATGAGTAGGCAAGTCCTCAAACCACTGCTGGTTTGTTCTTTACTGGAATCATGTTTGACAAATTTGAGGATGAATATAGATATGTTTGCTTTATAACTTAAATCTTCTATTTGAACTTATCTAAAATAGGTGGTTCACCATTATCACTACAGATCTAGATTATGTCTCAGATTTTCCACAATCACTCAAATGCAAGTCCAAGGTCATGTCTTCTTTATTCTGTATTCCTGGATCTCACACCCCAAGGCACATTTTTGGCAAAACTGAATGCATGAGTGACGATTCCTAGTGTGCAGCACCACAGGGAAAATAGCTACATTTTGATAGTGATATGGAGTGACTTATGTAAGCTACTGGCATCTTGCAAATCTTACCAGTTGAGTGGCATCTAAGGGTGAAGTCATGCAGAAAGGCAAAAGGTGACACAAAGAATACCTGGGCCTATAACAAATTCTAACTGATAATCTACATGTCTGTAGAGTTTCAAAGTGTAGAAGAGGAAAGTTCTGATCAAGGAATTAGGATTTAATGAAATGTACTGAATGTCTGTATACCCCACCCCCCAAAATTTGTATGTTGAAATCCTAACCACCAGTGGGATGGTATTAGGAGGTGGGGTCTTCGGGAAGTGATTAGGTCATGGGATGGAGCCCCTATGAATGGGATTAGAAGGGACCCTCCAGAGCTACCTCCATCCTAGCATGTGAGTAAAATGAGAAGCCGGCCATCTGTCAGACACTAGGTCTTCCAGCACTTTGATCTTGGACTTCCCAGCCTCCAGAACTGTGAGTAATAAATGTCTGTTTATACTGCCCAGTCTGGTATTTTTGTTATAGAAGCCCAAATGACAAGACAGTTGGTGTTAAAACAGGGCACCCCTAGGGAGCACCCTCGCTGGATTGCCATAGGCCATTTACTTTCCCTCGACATACTGTGAGGTCTCTGTCACAGAGCCCACACAGCGACCTCAAGCCTTCCCTGCTTTATACTTCCCCGTGCACACCCACTCTGGCTGTACCATCACCCTGCTGCAGCAATTGCTCAGATTGCCATATGAAAGATAGAATATACTTGTGAGCATTCAGACTGAGGAAGCTCTCTCTTCTCTGATTGTAATACTTGCTGCTGCTTTCTGCCTCCAGCAGTTTGCTTCAGATTAATTCTTTGTGCTACTTTCCCTGTCTTGGTCTCTCTTTGAACACTCACCTGTGGGCTGTTGGAGAACATTAGCCTCATTCCATTGTTTTAATATGATCATTCTTTCTAGCCTCTTAGATCACCAGGAGAAGTAGATGGAGGGAGGAATGGACTTGTTTTTCATTGCAGGCTGCAGTCTGGACCCTTCAGAAACATGAAAATTCTTCAGTCTCTGGATCAGCCCATTTTGCCTCAGATAAACCTTCTTGGATGTGAGAAATATTTTCTACTTATTTTTTTTAATGTTTAGTTTTCTGTTCTGTGGTCAGTGTTATATAGCTTCACTTTCTTCTTTATTCCTGATTTTATTTCATCTAAGTCTGCTGCCAGCACTTGCCAAATTTCTTTATCATCTGTATCTACTGGCAACTTAACGTTCTTGAGCCAATGGTGTCAAAGCAGAATACATATGGATGTCGTCAATCTCACATGGTGCACCTTGGAATAATATCTGATGCCTATCACATATTTAGGCCATGAGCAGAGCAAAACATGGGTGACCCTATAGTCTCTAAATAAAAGTGCTCTCTCCCTAACTCTCTATTCCCCCTCCTGTTACTTTAGCTCAAATGGAAATCTTCAGGGTCTCTCTACAGACAAAGCATGCCTTCTGCCTTATTCTCAGCCTCTTATGTAGCTTTCTTCTAAGGCTTGGGACCACCCTGCATCCTAGGCCTCACTTGTTCATGGTCTAGCACCCTGCACAGTGCTTGCTAATCCTTTGCTTCCTCGCCCTTCAGTCACTCTGTTCTGATCCTGCTCTACAGGAGAGGCCATGTTCAAATCCCAAAACAGTTGTGTCAGAAAGCACTCTCATGACTAGCCTTCGTTTTTGCTGGGACCCAACATGAACTTGGACAGTATCCTCTGGGCATTTTGCCTTCACCCTAGGCAGGCACTTGAGCCAAACTGGTCAGTGCCCTGCACCTTAGTGAATGAGACTCTGTGGTTCAAGCCCACTCTCCCTCCAGGTGGCTGTGCATTAATGCCAAAGCTCATGTCATATCATCACATCCGATCCAGATCTTGTGTATTCTCTGCTGGATTCTCTTTTCTCTGGACCCTTGCTGGCAACTTGTTCATTTCTTCTTTACTCTTCATCTCTCTTTAAAATGCACCCTTACCACGTTCCCTAACCACACAACACAATCCAGCTCAGCGGAGAACATACTAAAGAAATATCTATTTCATTGTCATTGAATAAATTAATTAGCTAGGACTTTAACAGAATGTGCTAATAACATCTCTGTTATTATCATTTTAAAAGTATTCTCCCCTTTGCCTTGTTTCCTCAGAGCTCAAACTTAAGCAGAGTTGACATTCATTGAACACTCACTATTTGATAGTCACTGGGCTCATAATTCAGTACTACTTCAATCTTTAGTGTGTCCATATGACGGAGATACCATTTTAACCCCACTTTCTCTGGAAGAGCTTTAGACTTGGAGAGATTAAGTAATCTGCCTATAGTTAGCCAGATAATAAGTGATAGTCAAGATCGCAACACGGAGGCCTTGCTCTTATCCTTGGTTACACTTATACTGCATTCCCTGAAAGAAGTGCTCCTTATCCTTCACAGCCTTTTAAGTCCATTTAGGTATCAGTTTCCCAGGAGATAATTATTTTACTCATTCACCAAAGATTTTCTGAGCACTTAGTAAGTGCCAATGACTGTAGTGAGCCCTGGAGACATATCAGTTATCTAAAGAAATAGGAGCCACTCAGAACCAGCTTCATATTCAGGTAAAAATGTGTGTATTCTGGCTTAACGAGTTTGCCCACAAAAGGAGATGTTCGGCACCCCGAGGAATGCTAGACACCTTCACAACAGGCCATGGGCACAGATGGCCATACTGTGCTGAGAAGTTGACTTTTTCAAGTTGACATAGATGTGTAGTTAAAGACTCACATCTTAAATACAGTTTTCCCAACTCCCCAGCCAGGGCTATCGCTCACACACCACATAGTTTCCTGGGGAAAGGATGGGGTACATGTTAAAGCCAAAATTTCCATGGCCGTTGGCAAAAATCTCATGACCATGGATCAGTTTCGCAGAACAGAACTCCTTCATTTAAGCCATTACCCATGAAACACTTCTAGAGTTTTTCAGTGTTATCTAACAAATAGGCAAGGAGATTATGTACATTTATAGGACTAGCACATACTACTACGGACTGCATCCAGTGGGGTATAGAAGTGGGGAAAACCAGAAAATTTAGAGAGCCTCATCTTTCCCACTAAACCTGCTTGTTAATCAACATCACCTCATGTTACTGTCTCTTCTCCAGACCTATCATCCATACTCATCTAGGCAACATTCTTGGATTTTCGCTGCCACGGAGGATATTAGGTTAGCATGACTTAGTTTCATATACTCACCACATTCTCTTATCAGTTGACCCCTCTTGCAGTTTATTCTGGTGCTTAAGAGTATAATCTCCTTGCCTCCCCTACCCCATCCCTTGCAGTGTGTAGTTACTTTGTTTTTTCCTTCCACACACTTGCTTTGTGCTATATTTAACTCCTGTACATTAGCATTAATATCCAGCCGCACAAGTGAAGTTGCCGCTGTGCATTACTTCCACCAGGTACAGTAGGGGTTTATTCCACTAATTCCTTTTGAGGATAGGGCAACAGATGCAGATACAATACAAAAAGGGCTGAACCTTCTCTCCATAGTATATTGAATACAAATCTTTATCAGGTTTTTATGTGCATGATTTTATTCTTTTGCTTTTCACCTACTTTTTTGCCTTTGGTTTTGGCTGGCACACAAAGCAACTTAAAAAAGGGAGACTGACAAAGTAAATGTTCCCCTGAAAAGAACATGCTCTTAACATAAAAAGCAACACAAGATCTGTGACATAAATTATCTTGTACGATTCCCAACTGCCTAGAACAATGCCTAGTACATAGTGGGTCCCCCAATAAATTGTTTAATGAAAAAAGCAGATGTGATTTCTTCCATTCTGGCTAGTCTTCCTTTGTTAAGAATCCCATTTAAGTGGAGAAAGGCAAGACCCTGAACCAGAAAGAGGTATAGTCATTACAGACTACTTATTAGTCTAATTTCTTTTTTCTTTTTCTCTTCCTTTTTTAACTTTTGATCCATGAAATCTCTTCCTCCACCATCTGAATACTTTCATTTGCCTTTTTAAAAAATTGTTTAAGCATTTAGACCACAATCACTGTCCTATTAGAACAAAAATCAATTTATTCAAGGTTTTTAATCCAAGTAAAAAAGCAACTTTTTCTGCCTTGATTTAACTTTGTTTTTAAAAAGAATCAAAAAACAATATTTATTTGATTCTTAGGTAGCAAAAATTTGTTTAATGAATATACTAAATATGTATGACAAGTTACAATTTTATTCAATTAAGGAAAGGGGGATGGTTTGTGGAAGACAGAGAGGGAGAAAGGAGGGCAAAAAGCCCTGGGATGAGTAGAAACACTCATATGTAACAGAAAAGGGTGAGAAAGAGAGGCGAGTTCTATGGGAGAAAAGTGGGCTTGAGACTGAAAAATTCATGGGAAGTTAATGGCTAAAAAGGAGGGGAGCTCTTTATATACCCTCAGAGGTCTTTCTGCAGGACTTCTGTGAGAAGAGCAGGGCAAATGTGGAGAGCAGTGTGACTTTCTAAGTCACTTCAACCAGGAACACAGGGGATGTTCTTTTCTTGAAGACCCAGACCCCATCTATGAGTCTTACCTCCAGCTTCTTGGCCCTTCCGCTACTTCAGGGAGGAAGCACACTGGAGCTACAGGCAGCTTCTAGGGTGACATCCAAAGTCAGAGGACTCTGTGCGGAAGTGGTTCCACCTGGTATAAATGAGCGTGCACTCAAATTATGGGACTTCCATCTAATTAAAGAATCTACCCACTAAAGAGAAGTCAAGCCAGGGTTGATAATGTACTTGTATATTGAAACACAAACATTGCCCATTCTAACTGGTTCATGCTGATGCTTTGTTTATAAATATTTTGAGTATTACTAGATACTTCAGGATAGCATCTTTAAAAAAAATGGAGAAAATACTTTAGATTACATGCACCTCTATTTCTTTAAATACATCATTTTAAGCAAGTTAGCTTCATTCACTCATTCATTTATTCCTTTTTTTTTTTAACCCAAAAAGCATTTACTGCTTACTGTCTTCAAGCAATGTGCTAAGCAAAGGGAAATAAGGTCTGAGGTAAAACTGGTGTCCTGAAGTAGGGTGTCTTGCCAATGGGTTTTAGCCCCGGGCAAGTTCACTATGGATTCAGTGAGACTGGAGGAATGACAATGGAGCGTTCTTGGGATGAAAGGGGTTTATTACCCGGCTTGTTCTCCCGGCCATAAATCAAGCACTAGAATTACGTCTGCATCCAACAGTCAGTAGGTCTGTAATCCTTCATCTCTGCCTCTGCCCAGAGCACTGGGCAGAGCTCTTTATATAGTGACTCAATCAGTAATAGCTTATTGCCTACAGGTGTGGAAGCCCTAGCCTAGAAGCAGGTCAGTTACATCATTAAGCAGTTTAGGTTCAAGTGAGGATCCTGGCTGTAAGAACCGCCACTTTATCCACATAGGGTACTTGTAGATCATTCTTAGAAAATTATATTTTGTTCTGTTTTTAAGAGAGAACCAATTAAGAGTTTTAGCAGGAGAGTAGAGTAGTCAGATTCTACTCAGCAACATCACTCTGAGAGCCAGATGGAGCAGACAGACTAGTCAAAATACTGTTGCCATAATACAGGTAAGAATGATGATCACTTTAACCAAACAACAACAAAGAGACTCACTGAAGAGATACCTCAAAGTGGGAACAACAAGATATGGGGACACTTTCAGTGTTGAGAGTTAGAGGAGTAAAGGGAGCAGGATGATCATCAGATTCCTGGATGGGATGCACAGAATGTCTGGGATCGCTTCTGCAGGGTAGTCTTGGCAAAGGGGAACATGTGCATGGAAGGGAAGGGGCAGAAAAGTGGGGCACCAAAGGGAGAACCATGAGAACCAGGAAGAGCAGATAGCAAGGCTGGGAAGGTGTCCTCAGAGTTAGAGAGGAAATCTCGGCAGTGCAGTGCTTTGAAGTGGAGACCAAGAGTGGAGATCTTTTCTAAGACATTAGAATAGGAGAAAGGATGATATAGTGAGAAGTGGGCAGGGTCTGGAGTTTCACTGATATGAAATTAAAACAGCTGCCACTTATTTGTTACAAAATATTAAGCAAATTACTCAACAATTCCCAGATTGTTTTTCTAAATCTATAAAGTGGAGATAACATCTGGTACATGGGATGGTACTTAGTGTGTAAGTTTATAATTATTTTAGTGCTGAGCACTCTACCAGAAGATTCTATTACTGTTTCTTTTCCCTTTAGTTCTACCCTCCTCTAGGCCATCAGCCTGTTGGCTCTTTTTCAAAAAAGAGGTTAGATTAAACCAGTGCCCTGCTTATCATCCCTCATGGTACACCTTTACCTACAGAACAGGGGCCGCAGGTGGTCCTTCAGGGTCCAGTCCTCACACACCCGGTCAGGCCCACCTGTCACTACTCTGGCACCTCATTCCAGCTATACCACATTTATGACACTGTGTCCTTTCATACCTTCAAGGCTTTGAACAAACTGCTTCTTCCTAGACTGTCCTCACCTAGTTCTCTTTATCAACTCTCCAGGACTTAAGTTCAAAAACCTGGTTTTCCACGTGGACATCCTTAACTTGACCCCTAATGTAGCTCTGGGTGGTGCGGGAGGCGGGGGAGGCCAAAGGGCAGGTTGGGTTAAAGGGATTTATATCTCACAGCTTTCTCCTGTTAGTCTCCTCCACCAGGGCTGGTGCTCTACCCCAACGCCTGCCTCTTCCTGCAAGAACTCCGCAGGCAGGCCCTCGGGGACCCGCGCGCACCAGACCAGTTAGGAACCAGGAACAGACGGGAGGAGAAAATGGCTTTTTTCTCTCCACCCCCTGCCCCAGAGCGACCAGAGGCTCTGCTGTGGTAAACTTCTATTGTATGTAAATGGACAAAGGCCAGGTGGGAAATTCTGGACATTCTGGGTGAAATCTTACATTTACCCCATGCAAACCCGCACAATCCACATACCAAAATCCTTCTTCCTTGCTACCATAATATTTTATAGATTCTCCTAGTTATACTTAAGCAATATTTTAACTATTTAAATGTTAAGTATTTATGTGTTTGAGTTTCAGCAGACTGATAGATCCATAAAAGAAAAATGATTTCTCACTGTATCCTCAGTAATTTTACAGAGTAATGCTCAATAAACATTTACTTAATGTTTTCTTTTAGTGTAAGGCCATGGGTTTCACAGGTTAAGTATGCACTGAATTAAACATCTGAAACCCATATAAAAAAAAAGGACAGTACTTTCTTGGGAGTGTGTGATCAGTTGCCTTCCCTGAAGCTAGATTAGATTTGAGGTTCAGCAGATAATTACTCCACTAGCAAGATCCAGACCCTAAAATCACATGGCCCTAGAGATTTGTTCCCCACCCTAATTTCTGATCTATTATGGAACTGATAAGTAGTTTTGAGAGATGAAGCACAGAGTAGTAGTTAAGAACATGGATACTGGAGTAGAACTGCCTGGTTCAAATCCCCTTCACTGGTCATTATTAACTATATGATCCTGGGCTACTTACTTAACCTCTCCATTGCTCAGTTTCTTCATTTATAAAATGATGGTGATAATAATGGGACATACCTCCTTAGAGTTGTTATGAGAAGTGATTTAATACAAATGAGGGGATTAGAACAATGTCTGGCATCAGTAATAAGTCTTAGATTATATGGTGACTTCTTTGAAAGATAATGGTACCTAAAATCATACATATCCATGTTGCTCTTTGTGCATATACACAATTAGCAGGTAAGTACCATATGCCGTTAGAATTTCATAAAAGCCCCAAGGGAGATCCAGATCCTATAATGGCCCTTAAATCAACATGTTTTCTACCCAGATCCTATAATGGCCCTTAAATCAACATGTTTTCTATCCAGATCCTATAATGGCCCTTAAATCAACATCTTCCTATCATCTTTCTGAGCTCCTTCTCCACTATCCCGTGCATTCAGAATAAGCTTTCGAGGGAAGAATGGAGGACAGGCAGAGCACTCGGGATGAAGTTTTGTTTTTAACAAGGAATTTGATAAGAATACATACCAGTGACACCAGTCAACAAATACTCTTTAATACCTGCTATGGTTGAGGCACTGTTCTAGGTACAATGAGGCCAGTCAGTCTCTTTTATTCAGGGCTGTTTGAAATACCTCTAAAATCATAGAGACTTCCCATGATTTTTGGCCTTAAAGGATCCTTATACTAGGACAAGGAAGAATTCAAGGTGGTTGTTTTATTCCCCCCTGCTTTGTACTTTCTTTTTTTTGTTTTGTTTTCTACAAAGGCACTATTATCAATGTATGTAGGTTCTATGATGATAGCTGCTATATAAACACAGGCAGAGAGAATGAGGAGAGGAAGTAATCAACTCAATTGTATAAGACTTTCTTTAGGAAGCATTAGAAAGGTTTTCCATGTTTCATCCTTATCCCCAAAGAGGCAGAGATGTGTTTTATGAGAGACGTCCTTACAATCAGCCCTGGAACACAATGCTGACTCCAAGACAGAGTCCACTCAGTTCTTCCACCTGACTATGCAAAGAAATCCATGTTCCCTTCCTGCTTTTCCCTATGTAAATAACTGTTTTATAAAAGGGAAAATGGAAAGCAAGCCTTTCAAACAGTTGTCATAAATTAGAATAAATTGCATTAATTCAAAATGTAAAACTAGGAGAGCCAGGAGAACATGCAACATATTTTCCCCAAATAACACTGTGAACAAGCACAAGTGTATACTCTGGGCATATGTATATCTTTCATCTGACTGACAGCCTGAAGGATAGTCCATGTGATTTTTGTGTTGCTGAGGTGGAAACAATCTTTATTTGGATTGAATAGCAGAGTAAACAGGAATGAATAAGAGACACAAAAGTTTACAGTACAGATGGTTTTCTGATTCTTTTTAAAAAATTGTATGCCTTATCAATTAAAGGTACACTTGCCTTTTGTTCTTGTCAACTGACCTAGAGTCTTTTCATAGTTGTACACCAGAAAAATTAGAGGTGATCAGTAAATTACATCTAGTATTTAATAATGCCACACAGGTTAAATGTAACAAAGAATATCTTCTCTATATCTGTAAAAATTAATATATTTCTTATAGTGGATTATGCAAGTGGTTAAGGAAACTAAGAACCTTAATGATAAGCCAATTAAAAATTTAAAGAAAGGAGGATATGATATCCATATATGTGTTGTATATATATATATATATATATATATGTACACACATATACCCATGTTTATGGGGAGAATAGATAAAAGATTTTGATGATTTAAGAAAAATATTAAAGGATGTGCCAAAAAGTGGTCTCCAGAGACTCAGAAGACTTTAACTGAGCATGAGTTATGCCTACCTGCAGGTAGCACACACATGTGCACCTAGGAGCCTTCTTCCTACAACTGGAAGGTCATTTTCCTTCCCACACAGTCATCTGGCCCTGTCATCCAAATGAACTGCCTTGGTTAACACGAGGCGGGGATAACATAACCATCCATCTTCTGTCAACAAGGACCCCCACCTCCTGCACATTCTGGGAGGCAAAAGGCCATTCCAATTGAATTATCCAAAACTGTGATAGAGATGTCAAAATGTAAAATTAAACAACACTGCTTAAATATTTACTGAGCATCTCCTTTTCATCCATGTCAAATAGTGCCTTTATCCCCAGTGTTTTTTGACCACAAAATGTAG